GGGGGGGGGCGCTGGCACACCTGGGCCCAAGTCATTGTCTCTGAGGCCCTCCTCAACTCCGGCCAGTGGCTACAAGAGACCCCCACAGGTCCCAGAGCCTGGCCGTCCATCCCCTGGCCATGGGCAGGCACTTGGACCGAAGGTCTGGCCGGCTAATGGTGACGCCATTGACTCTTCCTGTGCGCGGGCACTGTGCCAGGCCTCCAGCTCCCCTGACCCCTGCCACCCTAAGGCAGGTGCTGCTGCAGGGGCCGTTTGTCCCTGTATGGGGGAATGAACATGGCGGCTGCGGCACTGTTTCTCGAGCAAGTCAGAAGGACTGGGACCTGGGCCAGGTCTGTCTGGCTCCCGAGCTCCTGAGCCTGTGCTCTGACCGCCGTACCGACCCCAAACCTACCCAGCACTGTGCCCCCGATGCCCGGCTGGCGGCCACACTGCCAGGTCTTGTTCCAGGGGTCTGACCCTACTGCCCACTGAGAGGGTCAGCGAGCAGGGCGGGGCCCACGATGACACGAACAGCAGGCAGCGAGTAGGCAGCCACGAGGCCTCCTCCCAGGGGGACGACCACACGACCCATCCATGGGCTGCAGTCACAGGTGGCAGCTGTGAGGGCCTGGGGGCCTAGGTAGGCAACAGACGCCCCCGCTAGGTGCCCGTCCTGTGCCTGCTGCCTCCCTCAGACCCCTGGCCGTGGCCCTGGCTGCCCCAGCCTAATCCTGGGCAGGAACTTTCCCTGCCCCGCCTCGGTCCTTCCTCCCAGAGAAGAAAGTGGGAGCATATGCCAGGATCGGTGCGGCCCTGCTGGACCCGCATCTACATTTAGATTGAAACGTGCCGATAGGCCGTTCCTTCTGTCACTGGGAGGGAGAACAATGGGATACTCAGAGGGGCTGTCCATGGGGCGTCAGTCAGGCCTCCTGGGAGCCGCCTCAAGGGTGGGCCTCCCCGCTGCATGCTAACGGGGGATTAGGCCCTGTCCCTCCCCGGAGGGACCACATCCCTGCATCCCCACCGAGCTCCCACGGGCCGTGACCCGCTGTCTCACAGTTTTCTCTCCAGATCCATCTGCTCCTGAAGCGTCCCTTGGCGGAGGTGACCGAGTTCAGGGGCAGGCAGCGTGAGTGGCGGACTGCAGGCTCCCGCGGGCTGTAACGTACCAGGCAGTGATAGTCACCATGCTGGCTGCTCGGCATTTATGGGGTCTGATCGACTTCCAGCTGTGCGTGGCCCGCCTGTCCCGAGCGTTTGTTACGATGTTCTCTGGAGCCACCGGGGACTCGTGACACGGTGGGTATCCATCTGCCCGGAGCCCCACTGCAGCTCGCACGGGCCTCTGCCACCTGGTTCACAGGGGGCACCTCGGGGTGGACGGGCTGCTCATGGAGCGTGTGCCCACCAGCCCGGTTCCAAGTGCTTTTGCATCAGTGTGACATCTGCAGTATGACGGGACATGTGCCCAGTGTAGCATCTTCACGTGTGGCCACTCTGTTAAAGGTGGCTGCAGGGGCTGCCATTTACTGAGCAGCTGCTGCCCGTCAGGTAAGCCCTTCACATCAGGCTCTTCTTGGGTGCTCACAGCAGCCCCGTGAGGTAGGCATCCCCAATGGGAAACCGAGGCGCAGGGCAGCGGGTGACTTCCCCCAGAGAACCCGGCCTGGGCCTCACGCTGTGCTTCCTCTGTCTCTCACAGTGAAAGGACTGCAGCATTGCATCTCGGGGCCGCCCCCTTCCTTTCGGCCCCTTTGTATGTCTGCGATGATGGAGACGCATTGTAAGAGCCTAATGTGGTTTTTGTTCCTGGCCCAGAGAGATCTGATCATGGTAATTCTACGTTCACACGTCCCTATTCATCCCCAAGCCCAGCCGCCAACGGGAGAAGCAGATTATCAGCGCCAGGCTTGATAAATTGGACTCAGGGCTGAAATGGAAGAGAAATCCTGTTTTTATTATTGCAGACAAAGCCGGCAGGCGGGCAGCATATGTTGTGTTGGCAGCCCCTCACTGCAACGGAGGCCCAGGGCCGCAGAGCAATCAGGGCTTTCCAAGAGGCCCCCTACCTACGTGGGAGGCAGAGACCCCCATTAGCCTGGCCAGCTACAGGGGAGGGGTAACAAAATGTCAGCGGGATGGAGCAGAGAAGGGATGATCAATGGGGGTCTATCGATTTGCATCTTCCCCCTCGATCCGATTCAGAGCAACATGGATATGAGGCCCGGGGAGGGGGCGTGAGTGGCTGCAGCCCGGCCAAGAGAGGCTTAGAAGGTCTTTCATGTTGTGGAGGGCAGGGGAGTGAGAGAGCTGGCTTTGTCGGATGCCTGGTGAGTATCGATCTGTATTAGGGATGATAGTGAGCTGATTCTGTGGGGCTGGGAAGCCTTAACCGTTTCACGGCTTGCGGGTGTCCCAGGTGGGTGCTGGATGAGGCCCAGCCTCAGGTAGTCCTGACCCTGCTCCTTCCGCCCAGGTGTGCTGCTGACACCCCAGCCTGGGCTGGGCGGCGGCCTGAGCCCATTGATGGACCTGGAGGTCTAGGCAGAAGGGACAGGGACGTAGGGCTGGGATCCTGGTGCCCATGGGCCAGAGTTAGAGCCCAGTTCAGCCACTGCAAGGTGGGTAAGGATGCTTCTGACTGCTATTCTGAGGCTCCCAACTTTCGAGTGGCCGGGCATCAGCCTGCCTCTCATACCTGCCACTCACTGAGGGAGCGTTGACCTTTGTTGGACCACTTAGACCATTGGGGCCTGCTTTCCTCATCGGTAAAAGGGGCCCCATGACACACTGGCTGAGAGAATTCTCAGAATGAGAGAACGGTGACACGTGTTTCGTACACCCCTGCACCATGCCCATTGGAGGGCCCGTCCTGAGTTTGCAGCTTGGCTCCAGCTCTGGGTCTGTCCCCTTAGGTGAACATGTAATATCAAGAAGCCTGTCTGTGTCCCCATAGAGGAAGGAAATGCCATTCACCTTTCTGAATGGTTGTGAGAATCAAATGAGTTTATGTATGGTAAGTACATAGTATGCAATTAGTGCCGAATAAAGGAGGATTTTCATTATTGTCATCATTAGCATTGTCCCTGTCGTCAGCATCACTTCACCACAATCACCATCATCACCACCATCGTCACCATCACCACTATCATCACCATCATCATCATCACCATCACCACCATCACCACCATCGTCACCATCACCACCATCACCACCATCGTCACCATCACCGTCACCATCATCATCATCACTGTCACCACCATCATCACCATCACTATTGTCATTGTCATCATTGTTACTGCTGTGGTCACCGTCCTCGTCATTGACATTATCATCATCATTGTCATCATCTTGAAGATAATCACTTTCAAGGAAGGAGAGTGGAGAGGTGGGGGCAACACTGAAGGGATGTGGATGGAAGGACGGAAATATTAAGAAATAATCGTGTGTCAATAGAATGAACAGGTAGAGAGGGAGAAACGGATAGTGCAGGAGAGAGCGCGGGCTCGTTGCAGGAGCAGTAAGCCTGTTCTTCCTCTCTGGTTTCTTCTTCAGATTTTCTCGTTATCATTGGTTTGACAGGATGTGCTGAGGTGTGTGCGTGCACATGTGTATGTGAGCATGTGTGTGTGTGCACGTGTGTGTGTGTTCATCCTGTTTGTGGTTTTCTGACATTCTCAGATCTGTAATTAACATTTTCTTCAATACTTTTGAAAAGTATTGGCCCTCATATCTTCAAAGATTTCTTCTGCTCCTTTTCATTCTTCTTTCCTTCTTGATTCCAGTTACACATATCTGGGGCCGCCTCAGGCCATTGAAGCACTGTTTTAAAGTGTAGGCTTTATTATTTTTCAGGTATGGTGGGACCACCAGATCAGGAGAGGACATAATTGAAGAGAGTTTATTCCTCGCAGTTCCCAAGAAAAGGGGCATGCCGTGCCATGCAGGGCCACACGGGCAAGCACCAGGGTCAGCCAGGAGGCAGAAGCGGGCACGAGCCTTTAATGTGGTTTCCAGGAGAAAGGCCAGGCAGGGCCAGCAGGCCGAGGCTGGTTGTTTGGATAATTTTAGCAGGCTCGGGGGCTCCAGGGCTGCCCCTAGTGTCTGGGTCCTGGTTCTGGGGTCCCTAGTGTCTGGGTCCTGGTTCTGGGGTGATTAGGGCAGAGGGAGAGTGGCCCAGAGTGTGAGAGCCTGATCAAGGGGGCCCTCGACTGGTTGGTTTGTAGACGAAAGATATGCTTGAGTCATTTATTATGTCTAGGAATTGGCTGGTGCTGGGAGGGGCAGTCTCTCCAGGGTCAGCCAGACCTAGACATCAACGCATCAGAATAAAAAGACATGCTTAATACAGATACTTTTCATGTTCTAAAAATCTTTGATCTCTTTATCCTTCAGATTGAATGATTTCTATTGACCCACCTTCAAGTGTACCAACTCTTCTCCAACCTCCAATCTGTTGCCAAACCTACCCAGTGACTTTAAAAATTTCAGATATTGTATTTTTGAGTCTTGGAATTACCGTCTTGTTTTTGTTTTTAGTTTCCATTTTTCGCCCTGAGGTTCCATAACTAATCACTTAATAGCTTTTTTAAGCCCTGGGCATATTTATAGTATTTATTTAAAGTAATTTTTCCGTCTCTTTGTTTGCCTAGTAATTTTTTAGTGCAAACTGGACATTGTAGGTGATACACTGTAACAACTCTGGAGTTTGTTATCTTCCTGTGAAAGGTGTGGATTTTTGTCTTACAGGCTGTTCAGTTACTAGCTGCTCACCTGAACTTGGTAGTCTGGTTTCAATGCTTCGTTAAGGCAGCTCTGAGGGGAGCCCTAGGGGTTACCCCAGCCTCTAACTTGGTCCAACTATCCCCACTGGTCTGCCCTGTGACCTTGTGGGTCTTGGTGTCTGTTGGGGCGAGTCTAGGATAGGTCTCCCGTGGGGAGTGGCCATCCTGGGGTGTCAGCTGCCTGCTCGGGGCACTGCCAAGTCCCTCTCCTGTGGGTGGTCTGGAACTCCACCATCATCCATCATTGCTCAGCCTCTGACACTTCCATTCACTGCCGGCCTTGTGCAAGGGCATTGTGTCTTGCCCTTTGCCGGCAAAGCCCAGCCCCTGGCCGAGAACTTTTGGGGAACCCTGTACCACCCTCCAGGCCCTTCTCTCTGAAACCCTGCCCCACACACTCCAGCCATCCCGGCAGCCCCAGCTCTGGCCTCTGCCTCAGCCCAGTGGGGCTGCTGTGGCCCGAGCTGCGCTGGCCCACACTGCGGTCTGGTGGGAAGCTGTCCGAAGCAGAGGGCGGGGCAGACGTGGCGCTCACCTCAGGCCCTGCTCTGGAGGACCACAGTCTTGGGGGCCTGCTGTCCTACACCTGAAAGCCACCACCATATGTATTCATATGTATCCTGCCCAGGGTCACAGTGGTTATGACAGAGGGCAAGAGTCTTTGCAGGGGAGTGCGTGGGAGCGGTTATGAAGATGGCCACAGGCTCCAACTTGGTGACAAGGGGAGGGCCCACAGGGAGGGGAGGGGTCAGCGACTTGTAGGTCGTGGTGGGGATGGAGGTGAGTTGTCAGGGTTGTGGAGGGCCAGCGCCAGAAATGCAGGGGTGGTCACCTGAGGGTGGCTATAGAAAACCAAGGGCCAGGGCGGTGGGCTTTTTGGTGATGACAGGGTCCAGGCTGCAGCTGTGAGAGGGACGGCTGTCACCGGAGCAGAGGGGTCAGGGCACTGATGGACAGGCCATTGCGTGGGTGCTGAGACGGAGTGTATGATTAGTCTGTTGGAGCTGCTGTGACAAATACCACAGATTGGTGCGTTAAAAGCTGAAGTTTATCTTCTCATGATTTTGAGATTTTTTTTTTTAAGCTGAGCCATCCTGCCACCTGTTGGCAGCTCAGCGGCTGCTCAGCTCGGGCTGGACTTGAACCGCTGTTGCTCAGAGCTCAAACTCTTGAG